AGAATCCATTATTAAGGATGAGTTTGCAGGGTACTTTTTTCTCTTTATTCATTCATGGGATGAGGGCGTTATTGGCTAGGCAGCATTTATTGCCTATCCCTAATTGTCCAGAGGGCAGTTAAGAGTCAACCACATTGCTGTGGGTCAGGAGTTACATGTAGGCCAGACCAGGCAGTTTCCTTCCCTAAAAGACATTAGTGAACCAGAGGGTTTTTTCCTGACAATTGGCAATGGATTCATGGTCATTGTTAGATTCTTAATTCTAGATATTTTTATTGAATTCAAATTCCACCGTCTGCCATGGTGGGATTCAAACCTGGGTCCCCAGAACGTTATCTGGGTCTCTGGATTAACAGTCCAGTGATAATACCACTAGGCCATCACCTCCTGCTCAACTGCATAGCAAAATAGGGCTGAGTTAGCACAGTTTCGTCAAGGGGACGTCATACCTGACAAATCTGTAGACTGAAATAGATCCCATCAGGTTCTGAGATCTTATCTACCATAATGCTTTTGAAGACACCCAACAACTCCTTCTTCTCAATATTAACATGCCCTAGAATATCAACATTCCCCTCCCTAATCTGACAATCATCCATGTCCTTCTCCTTGGTGAATTACTATACAAAGAACTCATTTCTGCCTCCACACAAATGTTCTCCTATGTTCTTTGGTGAATCACCCCTTTCCCTAGCTACTGTCTTGCTCCTAATATGCATACAAAATGCCTTCTTAATCCTACTTGCCAACGACATTTCATGGTCCTTTTTAGATCTTTTAATTCCTTGTTTAAATTTTTTCCTGCTTCAATTCTATTCCTCAAGGGCTTTGTCTAATATCAGTTTCTTAAGTGTCCTTTCTCTTTTTGATTAAACTTTCAGAGTCTCTTGTCATCCAGGGTTCCCGAATCTTCCTATCCTTGCAGGAACATGCTGGTCCTAAACTCTGATTAAGTGGCCTTTAAAATACACCCACATTTCAAATGTGGAGCTACTCTTAAACAGCTGCCCAAATCTAATTTCTCCAGTTCCTGCCTAATACGGTTATAATTAACCTTCCCCCAGTTTGGCGCTTTCACCCAAAGACTAGTCTTTTCCTTATCCATAATTATCGTAAAATTTACAAAATTATGATCACTATTCCCAGAACCCTCCCCCACTGCAACTCTGACCACTGGCCAGGCTTATTTCCCAATACAAGATCTAGTACGACCTCTTCCCCATTTGGGCTAATTATATATTATTTCAAGAAATCCCCTTCGATGACCCTAATAAATTCTGCCCCATCTAAGCCCTTTAGAACTGAGATGAGGAATTTCTTCAACCAGAGGGCGGTGAATCTATGGAATTCCCTGCCACTGACTTGGCCTCCACAGTTTTCTTTGTGTCTATTTAAGACAGACAAACAAGTTCTTGATTCGTAAGGAAATCAAAGGCTATGGGGAGAAGGCAGGAGAATGGGGTTGAGAAATATATTCAGGACGTCTCCAACTTACACTCACCTTGCAGCCCTGCTAAGTTCCACATACCTTTTGGAATATGCATGCTACCTAGAAATCCAGAAAACTTGGTCAAAATAGAAGCTAGTTGCATATTAATATGTTAATGTTTTACTGACCATAACAGGAAAGTCCCTTGCTTGTTTCAAACTTGCCTGGGTGAGTTGGACAAGTCAATGGTGTGTGAGAGAGAGTGAGAGAACGAGCGTAAGAGTAAGTACGTACGTGCTCGTATTCAAGTGTGCATGCCAGTGGGTGAGCATGTGCAAGAGTGTATGAGAATGAGCGTGAGAGTTTGTCTGTGTGGGAATGTGAACATGTGTAAGAGTGAATGTGAGTGAGTGAGTGTGTATGGATTCATCACGAAGTAAGAATATGCGAGGGACCCAGAAGCAGCCTGATTAACACATTAGAATATTTATAGTTAGGAAGTTTGCTTTTCAGGGCCAAAACCTACAACAGTAGATAAGTGTAACAAAGGTGCAAAACAGATCATGGCAAAAGGGGTAGAGGACTAGTGGGTTCACTTTTCAAACCTGGAGCAAACACTCCTACCCTTCCTGTTCCAAAGTAGGACTGCAAAGGCATTTAGCACATTAATTCCATTCCTGTCCTTTATGGGATCATTACTGCCATACAGCAAGAATACCAGATAGCAGGGAAGAGATGTTTCTGTGTATAGTGATGCCACCACCATGCGTGGAGACCATTAAGCATGCAGTTCTTCATGGCTCAGGGAGAAATATGATGGGAAGTGAAAAAAACCAAAATTGTAATGAAACGATGAAGTGTGATTCAAAAAGAAATGAAACCAACTTGCTTTCTGTTTTCTAGTCAACAGATGAGGAAAGGAATGAGCATAGGTCTCTGTCAGCACAAAATACCAGATAACGCCATTCAGTTCCTGGCTAAAAACTGGGCTATCCAGTATAAAAACTGGGCTATCCAGTATAAAAGATAAATGTACCCAATTCATTTTTATGAAACTGAAATTTCTCTAAAATAGTTGTTGCAGCTGCCCATGACCAAAGTTGGCATAAAATGCTTTTTAGCTGACATAAGAAATAGCAGCTACATATTGCAGACTTTCACAGCCAGCCTTGTGGTTCCCATAGAGAGTTACTGGATAAGATACCGAAAAGGTCCTGTGAGAATAATACGGTTCCAGCGAGAAAAGACAAGGAAATTTAATTAATTTTTGTAGACAGGCAGCTCTAAGCACGTAAGCATCTTGAAAAACCTAGATAAGAGACACCTGTGCACTAACCACAGTCCCAAGTTTGTTACTTAGTAAAATGTAGAAAGAAACATCTGATCTCACAGTATTCCTAAATTTTTAGGTAATTGTAAATTAGAAATGCAAACCTACAAACCACTATTAAGGGATGTAATTGAATTCCTTTAAGCAGATAGTTGTAGGCAGTAAAGAAAATTCCTGCTTTGTCAACCTGGACTGCAATAGCAAATGGTGTAAGCAAATTACCTCATAAAAGGGAAAGTAAGCATGGTAGGTGGTATAAAGAGATTATAAAACATGGTCAGTGTGACTTCAAGAAAATAAACAGATTTCAGCTTAGAAAATAGCCTATTAGAGCTGTAGATAATTTCAGCAGACTCTTGCACCCAAAGATCAAGGGAAAAAAATGACAGACAAATGATATGATAAGGGTGCGAGGGCAGTTATGTCCTGTTCTGAAGAAGGGTCCCGACCCGAAACATCAGCTTTGCTGCTCCTCTGATGCAGCATGACCTGCTGTGTTCCTCCAGCTCCACACTGTGTTATCTCTGACTCCAGCATCGGCAGTTCTTACTACCTCTAACTTTATACTGAAGTTGTAGTTACAAATTTTTATCAATTGGTAGAAATTAGCATTCTAAGTAAGAAGGCCAGTATGGAATATAAATTGTATAACAGAATTTGAAAAAATCATTAGTGATAAGTATCCAGTTTATTGGCAATTAATGCGATGCAGCTGGTAAATATCAAGGATGGAGTATAACTGTCAGTATTGCAATGGGATTGAACAAAATGCATTGTAAGATCCAAAGATAGAGGTGTCTGATAAACATGAAATCAGGGGAGGACCTAGGGCAGTCCGTAGAATTGTCCATCATTGATCACGTGTTCAGAGGATTAGGTGTGTAGATTAGGGGAATGTGGCTAACAATGACATCAATGCTGCATGTAATTATCGTAATGCAAAATGTATAAAAATGCTGTACTTGGCTGAGAAAGGCATAGTGTCCAGCGGAATCCGTTTCCAAAGGACCTCTCCCACATTGCACTGGTAAAGAGCTTGGAATAAAGATCGACTTGTACTGCCTGACACAAGACTCAAGACTCCTCTTTGATATTTCTCTCTCCAACAATAGTGTAATCATTCAAATGCTTTTGAAAAAAACAATTATTTTAAGTAAATTTCTCTGCAAGGTGATTTATTTTGATGGGATTAGGATTGCTTCAAATAACTGACCATGGGGCCAAACTGCCTGAGATAAACAGCAAAGAAAAGATGGTCAACTAGCAGTTAATTAAAGCGGCTAGTCGATTCCATTTCCAGCAGTTTTCTTTTAATTCAAGATAAGCATAGCTGCAGAGCAGAGAACATCTCTTTCCAGCAGAATTTAATTAAATTCTGTGTTCTGACTATGAGAGTTTAAAATTCTTGTTAATTGAAGGACTTAACTAACAGTGAGAAAGTGAGATGGACAAAAAATTGTCCTAGATACAAATTTCAAGAATTAAAGAGCATTAGAACCGAAGAATTCTGAATCAAGGTGGCTATGCTCAACGTGCTGCAGACAACTGTGTTGAATCATGTCCAGAATCAGGGGACTTTTGAAGGATTTTTCAAAGACAAAATCTTGCTGAAATTAGCAGAAAAACAGAGCAATCTTGGCCCTATCTGAATCTTTCAAACTATACCCATGCCAAGTAGTTAATCTTTTAATTTCCGACAAATATCGGATTTGAATTTTTAGGTCTGTAAGTCAAAAGGTTGGAGAAGGAAATTTTAGTTAAGAAGCTTGCTTTAGGTAACTGTGTTAACAATGTTAAAAAGAACAATTAACACAATTGACTAGTTAAGGTAAATCGTAGTTATTAGTAGTCATGCTCTTTGAATTTTGCACAGTATTTTTTGTTTTAAATCATGACCCTTGTGGTCTTGTTGATTTAGTAAGTACCTGAGATTTTTGGATTAAAAATCATATTAACACTTTACTGGTCTCTACCAAGATCATAACAATGGAATGATTAATAAAATGAATGCATTATCATAATATTTATTGCAGTTAATATTTTACAATCATAATCAAGGCCAATTATGTATAACACTGTTCAAAATATGGATCCAAACATGTACTTCAAATCCATGACACACATTGTCTTGTTGTATATTAATTGTTGCTGTGATTTTAAATTCAGCAATGTTTCATGAACAGTCCTTTAGTAGTTGGCTATGATTGGTGCTGTTTATATGGTGGCACCATTATAGCAGTTAACACATGATTTTGGAAAACAAAAAGCTTGATTTTCTCAAACACCCACAAAAAAATGAAGAGAATGCTGACATACTGAATCCAAGCAATCTTAATCATTTCCCAGAAACCGGGTCGATAAGTAATTATTACACAATTAAGGAAAAAAATAAAAAGAAGTTAATCCCCAGAGAAAATATTTTTATCTGTATGGACTTTGTCAAATGCATTTATCATTTCAAATCTTATCTGCAGAAGAAGTGAACACACCCTAATTTTCTGTAAACCTATTCTCATAATTTAACTCTCTAACCCAGGATCATTTTAATGAACAAAAACAAAGTTGCCGGAAAAGCTCAGCAGGTTTGGCACCAGTTCTGAGGAAGGGTCACCGGACTTGAAACGTTAACTCTGTTTTATCCTTCACAGATGCTGCCAGACCTGCTGAGCTTTTCCAGCAACTTTGTTTTTGCTCCCGATTTACAGCATCTGCAGTTCTTTTGGTTTTTATCATTTTAATGAATCTGTGCTGAATGTTCTCCTTGGTTTCAATGATGTTCTGTGGTGCCCAAACTGTAATGAAATACTCCAGAACAGGTTAACTACCACCACTTGTAAGGACTGCAAATGATTCTTACAATGAGTAATATGACACCATTTTTGAAAGATTATTTTTGTTTCCACCAAGAGATCTTGTGGCTGTGGGAGAGTGGGAGTGGGTCTAGTCACACTGGTCCAGCATCATAAGATGATGGTCTTGCCTGAATTGACAGAACAGCTAGTCTTTTCCTGGATCTTGCTTTTTTTCTGTTTGTTTTTTTTTAAAAACAAATAATATGGCATCAAGCATATTTACATGAAAAATAATATCACTACAATGTAATTCCTTGAACTTCAGCACTACATTTTAAACAACAGTTACATGCAAAACATTGGGCTGACATTTGTCTTGCTAACAGCTCTAGCAATCTCAATGCTGAGACTTTCAGTTGTATCACTATACTGTCATTGAAATTGATTGAAACATTCTTTACTAGGTATTTACAGCCCGGTGAGCAATTATCTGGCTAATCAAGTAACCAATCACATTAAAGGCTTTTCACAGCTAACCGTGAAGGAAACAAAGCAATAAAACAAAATAACATTTAAAAAACTTTCTAACATATAATTAATTGTAGCTTGGATATACAAATGGAGTGAAGGTAGAATTAAACTTTTAATAAAGCATCATTTAAATTAAAGTTTAAAATGCTACTAATTAACTAATCATTTTACTGCACTCTAAAAACATTAAATTATCTCTTCCAGGTCAAGTTCAATTATACATCAAATTTGATTATTCCATTGCTGTTGAAAATCAAATTACAATTTATTAAATAAGGCAGAACCTTTTTATTTAAATGGTAAGCCAAAGAAGGACAGTTGAAATTCTCTCTATTTTCACAATTGCACCCTTTTCCCTAAAAAGGTACAGCACAGTCTGGCAGAATCTTACTTTATTCATTATTTTGAATTTTAAAAAGGATATGTGATCATTTCCACAGGATATCTGATGACAGCATTAAAGACAAATGGGGCATCAGCAGCTCTCCCTACTGTCCACACAGGATACTGATTGGTGAAAATTGTTGTTACTAAAACAAGACAGTTAGTGACCAAATTAGATTCAAAGAAAAAATATTGTTCTATGAGGAACATTTCATATTAATATAAATGACTCAGAAATGAAAATCTCACCATTTCTATCTTGATATGATGAAATGATTTGTGCCAGGTCAAAGGCACTAGCAAATGGACTGTTATCATTAAATATTGAAACCTGTGGAATAAAAATGATATCTATAAACGTCTAAGTTATTTGTCCAACTAGTAAAACGTAAAATCGTCATAGTGCCGGAGGATCATATGGCTGCTTTGTTCATCTATCTTTGTTCATCTAACTGACATCTCATTGACCAATCATAAGGCACATGGCAGTAATCCATTTGACTATAGTACCTGCAATAATACCTAATTATTTATTAACATTCTCCAGAACATTACAGGCCTTGACATTTATTTATCCAATTCGTCTGAATGATTTTAAGGTTGATCTGTTATATGTTTAAATTCATTTTCCAACAGTCCACTGTTGATACTTAAGTGTTCACATCTACCTAACGTATTTAAAATTTTGAGATTCTGGCTTTTAGTGTGTTTAATTAATCCTACTTCTGCCTTGTACACAGTCTATTAATACCCTCCACTTTCTCAGCCGGTATACATATCTATAAATCTCTTTTAGTCAATGGACTGTAACTCACCAACATACCCCCAAACCCGCACCTCCACCATATCCCCACAGTGAGATGTCTGCACGTAAACAAGATCACAAGGCTAACTATAATGTGGAAGGTACTTTGGTCCATCATCGAACAAGGAACATATAATATAACAATCATAGAAACTAGCCTTTTCTTAAAAGTTTCTAAGGAATTTTAACTCCATAATCTACAAGGAAGTATTCTACAATATTAACTACTCTTTTTTAGTAAAGAACTTCCTCATAGCAGTCTGTACGTAATTTGATCGTTCACCCATTACCTGATATTCTCATTTTGTTCAAATAACATTCCAGTTTTATTTAAATTGTTTACTATCTAAAGTATCTCTCTCAGTAACTCTTCACAAAGTATAAAGTTCTTATTTCTCTCATTTTTCTTCATAGAGGAATCCTTGGACATTAGGTTGAGAATTATGTAGTTTTTTTTGTGTAACGCCACATGGTTAAGTCCAGAAAAGGAAGTTGTTTGACCCATCTGAATTCACCCTGCCAAAGAATTCCTATGATTCTCTTCAATCACATTTAACTGTCTCCAGAAAAACTATATATTTTTCCCTCAGATTACTGTTATAGCCTGTGTTTGGTATATAAAGGACATCTGCATCCCAAAAATGTTGGTTAGATCATGTACCATCTCATTTTACAATGCTTCAATCCAGCACCAACTTGAGTAAAATCCCGAGGTGAGCACCGAACTGGTGGTGGAAGGCTATTTGAAGTACACAAATTTGGGTGCTACAAGAAATACAAGAACCCCAAGTGCAATTCTGACAAACTATTGGGTTGAGTGTGTGCCATGCAATCTTTGCCTGCTTTATCAGTGTTACATGGCTTGACCAGCAATGCCATTCTAATTCTCAATTCTGACAGTCAGCTAGTTCTGCATAGGACTTTGCCAATTTTCTCCCCAAATGGAAAGCTACCTTAAAGTTTGGTACCTGCAGCTTTGTGATGACAAATCTAAACTCAATGTTACTGTTGTAAGCTCAAGCCATTGTTTGACAAACCTTATCCCTTGACATCATGTTGTGTATCTCAAGTTAAAATCATCTACTGCTGCAAGTTCAATATACAATATGTATAAATTATAATATGATCTTTTTGATTTGGAATTTCATAATGAATTAAATACAACTTAGCAAAATATTATTTTTTAAACTATTGATTTTCCATACTGTTTATGAAGGCATGCAAATGCAACAACTACACATTTTCAGATGTTACTACTTTCATTAGGACAGTTTCGAAGTTTATATGTAAATTTTAAAAATATTGTTAAAATTATCATAGCAACAATTAGTGTTTATTACCAGCTTCGACGCAGGAACCCCATGTTCCTCATTGAGCACAAACTTTTAAAAGAAGAGATACACTTACGTTGTAACGTGTGTCAAGACCTTTGTGCCGAAGTGGCTCTCTTTGATGTAGCTGTAAGTCACCATTCACACTAAGCTGAGACCCAGGTATGGAGGATGAGAAGTAGGTATATGCCATACTCTGCATTACAAATGTCGACATTCTCTGCAAACAATATTATGAAATAGCTAAGCTGATAGCATCATCATTGTGCAGTTCACTGAGTTAGAAGAAATGCTGTTTTGAGAGAATGGTCAAGTGCAAGGAAAATGCAGCACATTTTAATGTAAGATTTTGATTATGACTGCATTTATTGGCAACAGCCCTTCTTGTTGGCACAGAGGCTGGACAGATTTGCAGTGCCACGTGACAACAAAATGACAAGACGGCAGAATGGTGAATGACAGTGGCACCAGCATTGTTGCCGGTGGAACACAACTTCCCAACGTTCACCAGTCTGAGCAGCTCCTCTTTACGTCCTGTGAAGGAGAGGTTGGGAGCTGAAATCTGTTCTTGTGTTTTGTTAACAGTGTGCCATCCAGTCCGCCAATTGGTCCAGTCTGTCTGACATAAAAGGTGACACACGTCAGACTGTGTGCGAACAGAGGAGCTGGTCCATTGTTTTCCAGGCTTTGCAGCCTACACGTTTCCAAAGCAGTCCCATTCAGTTGCGCCCTCTGCCCAGGCAAAACAACAACTGTCCATCCCCTGAACTCACACTGGCATGGTCTGATCATTGCTGTGCTGTGCACCAAAGCTCAGCTTTCCACAAGGCAAATGGTGGGTAATCTGCTAATGCGTGTGGTGAAAAAGGCTGTGTCATGGAGACGTGACATCACCAATGCCATCTGCACAAATGCACATGGTTATCTTTGCCACCAAAATAGACATATGGACAATGAGAGTCACAGAATTTCAGGAGGGAGCAAACAGAACTTCAGCTATACATTAATAATAAAGATTAGATGTTAGAGATAACAAAAGACTAAACTAATGGCTCTGTATACGAATGCGTATAGCATGTATAACAAAGTAAACAAATTGAGCGTGTATGTTGAAATAAATAAATATCACATAATTTTAAGCTTAACTGGTTGGCAAAGCAGTTCACCAGCCTGTTGTTAAACACTTCTAACCTTACATTCAACTAAATATCTATGAATTGAAAATTAGACAGGTCCTTCAATAGGCAATGTATACCAACTGTCCACCACCCAAATGATATAGCAATTTTAGCACTTTCATAACCCATTATATAAAACACATTTCTGATTGAGATGTTGTGCTTTGGATCCGTTAAAGGTGTGCCTTTTTTAAGTGAAGGCCATTTCACTAGCATTCGACCTTTATCAACAAAGGTCTTATGTTAAGCAGAAGTTGTACCTGAAAAATGTTCAGCTTTACAATTACTTGGTTGGTAGAAATGGAGATAGTTGTTGAAATTGACACATTTTGTATCCACATATCCCTTAAATCCTATGGTCTTCAGTCTGCTAACAAGTCTATTATATGGTACTTCCTTTCAAAATCTGTTTTTCGTAAAATAACCACACTACACTTATGCACTCTCTCCAATTTTCAAAGAACCCAATCTAAGTAATCAAATAAAACTTGCAGAGAACAAATTTGCTGTCTGTCATTTGTTAACCCATATTTTCCCAAGTGTTAATTAATTTGGTACTGGATTAATGTCTCTACAGCTCTGCATGTCAATGATATTAGGCCAACTTGTCAGCAGTCCATCTCGCCTTTTCTGGACAGGACTGTAATATTTATAAACCTCAAATTATGTGGCAACACAACAAGATACAAAGAGGAGGTAGAACTGTAATCAGAGCCTTTGCAATTTCCAACCTTTTCTCTGTAATCTATGATGCATCCCATTGAGACTTTTTAAAAAGCTTTTGTAAATCTTTTTGAGAATGTTCTCTTTTTCTTTATTATCATACAAAATTTCTCTGCCATCTCCTCTACTGTGACAGTATAGTGATGGCAGGTGCAATACTTTTATTTAATACCTCAGTAATGCACTTGGCCTCCAAAACAAAATTCTTTTGCTTCTTATTTAGCCCATCCTTGAGTAACTTTTCACTATTTTTTAAAAAACACACTGAGGTTTACTTTTGGAGATAGTAGGAACTGCAGATGCTGGAGAATCTGAGATAACAAGGTATAGAGCTGGATGAACACAGCAGGCCAAGCAGCATCAGAGGAGCAGGAAGGGTGACGTTTCAGAAGGGTCTAGGCCCAAAACATCAGCCTTCCTGCTCCTCTCATGCTGCTTGGCCTGCTGTGTTCATCCAGCTCTACACCTTGTTATCTGAGGTTTACTTTTACTCTCCCATTCATATTTCCATCACCTCATTTACTCCCTTTACAGTTCTCCTTTTTGTTTGTATTTAGCTTGCTTCTCTGCTAAATTACGAAACAGACATTTATCACGAGCCTTCTTTTTCTGTTTCATTTTAACCTTTATACCTGTGGACATGCAAGAAACTCCAGTTTGATTGGGTTATGTAAGGACTACATACAGTTCATTTGGAAATATAAACCAGAAAGTGGAAGTCTGGATTATCAGGCTTTTTACATCTTGACGAAATTTGGGTGCACACTGCCTCACAGTGCCAGGAATCTGGGTTCAATTCCACCCTCAGGCGACTGTTTATAGAGTTTGCACATTCACACCATGTCTCCGTGAGTTTCCACTGGTTGCTCATGGTTTCCTCGCATAGTCCAAAGATGTGCAGGTAGGGTGGATTGATGATGCTAAATTGTTTTAGTGTCTAGGGATGTCCAGGCTAGGTGAATTAGCCATGGGAAATGCAGGGTTATAGGGATAGGGTAGGGGGGTGGGTCTGGACGGGATGCTCTTTGGAGCGTCAGTGTTAACTCGATGGGCCGAATGGCATGTTTTCACACTGCAGGGATGCTACGAAAAAGCTGATCATTTAATGTTCACACGAGAGCATATAACTTTGCTGAAAGCCAAATTTTGATATTTTTGTGGAACATACTGGCACCAAGTATTGTTGAAAAAAAATGCTCAGCAAGTCTGTGGATTGTTAATAAATGGCACTTTGTCACTGAACTGAGAGGGTAGGGTGAGAGAGCGAAGTTGGGACACGGACCTTCAAGCCTGTGAACAACAAAAGTTCTCTCTTTAAAGGTCTTAGCAAAGATTTGTAGCTTGGGTTGTTGACTTGCTCTCCGAGCTGGCTTGTTTTCATTCAGATGTTTTGTCACCATGCTAGGTAACATCATTAGTGAGGCCTCCGATGAAGCGATGTTGTTCTACTCCGCTTGGAAAGCTCTCTCTCTGCATGAGGGAAAAAATAATAACACTAAAGACTTCTCAAAACAAACCAACTGCTAATCAAAGCTAAGACCTTGATCCAACTGACCAGCTACCAATTTGAGGGCAGCAGCAGTTGACAGCAACGTGATATCATCAAGAGCCCTAAAAAGGAACTATGAGAAAGTCACCTCACTCCTCCACCCCTTTTGGTTTGGACACTGATCCACAGACTTGTGATCTTTTTGCCTATGTTTTCCACATATGATAAATAGTTGGGGGTGGGGGGTGGAGTTCAGTTGCATGAAAAGTTATGAACTCAAAAGGTAAAGGAGAAAGTAGGATTGCAGGTCAGTGATGGGGTTGATTGTTACCTGATAACAAAAGGAAAGGACAGAAGGTGCGAATGTTACATTGTACAAAAAGGAGCCGTAAAAGTGTAGGGAAACTCGATAATAGAATTAACTTAAAGGTCTTGAATCTTAAACAAAAACAAAAATTGCCAGCAAAACTCAACAGTTCTGGCAGCGTCTGTAGGGAGAAAGCAGATTTAATGTTTTGACTCCAGTAACTCTTCATCAGAACTGATAGCAACGAGGAGAAAGTGGTATCTATGCTGAAGATAAATGAGAGAAAGTGAGAGGAGTTAGAGAAGTTGTACAAAGTGAGAACAAGCTCAGCCAGGCGGAGGAGAGAGTGATAGTGAATGGGGACAGTTCAGGCCTACCTTCCAGGAAGAGTAGAGAACCCCAAGCCTTCAACATGCCATCATGTTCCCACGTCAATATTTCTGTCACAGGCCTGCTGCAGTATTCAGCCAGCCTCAGTGCAAGCACAAAGAACAACATCTCATTTTCTACTTGGAGACCCTGCAGCCTCTAATAACTTTAGAATTTGTTTCTGTCCCTCCATGTTTTTTACCTACCCACACACCCTGGTCTTGTCATGACATGATTTGCTTTAAGGCACAGCCAACCCATTCTCAACCACTCTTAGCCCTATTATCACCTAACATGGGCTGCTTTCAGCACAGCCTACCAATTCCATCCTATTCCCAGCTATCATTATCACTTATTCTATCCTGGCCTACTATCAATAATCCCTCCCCCGCCTACTCCTTTCATATTTCTCTCTCTCTCTCTCAGGGCTCCGTTTCCACCTCTCCACCCACCCTCCTCAAGTTAGTCTTCAGCATAAAGATGAAGAGTCACCAGACTTGAAACATTAACTCTGCTTTCTGCCCGCAGATGCTGCCAAAACTGTTGAGTTTTGCCAGCAATTTCTGTTTTTGTTTAAGGTGCCCAGAATCTGCAGTTCTTTGTTTTATTTTAGGTTTTGTATCCTAATGTACAAAGCATTCGGTATAAGATAGACAAACTGGTGATGCAAATCAAGGCAAATGAATATGATCTCATAGCCATTACAGAAACATGGTTTCAAGGAGAATAAAACTGGAAACTTAGCATTCAGGAATACTTGACTTTTCGATGATGGGAGGGATGGAGAAGGTGGCAAGGTAACACTATTAATAAGAAATTAAATGAGGACAGTTGTAAGAGATGATCTAGCCTTGAATGACGTACAGTCCATTTGGGCAGAGGTTAAAAAAAGCAGCAAGGGAACAAAGAAGTAGGAGGAGTGTAAGCATCCTGAAACAATATCCACTTTGTAAAAAGATTAGAGCAATAATTATGGGAGACTTTAATTTTCATGCTGATTGGCTAACCAAATTGGAAAGGATAGCTATGACAATGAATTCAGAGAGTGCACTGGGGATAGTTTCCTAGAGCCAACCAGGGAGCAGGCTATCTTGGATCTGCTAATGGGTAATGAGGTATGTTTAATAAATGACCTCCAAATAAAAGACCTCCTA